ATATAGAATATTCAATTCTTACAGCTTTAAGGTGGTTCAAAACCTACATTTTACTCAACATCAAATGTTAGGTGCCCTCTCCCTTTTATTTTTACCTCTTTTGACATGACCTCTGAAATATTGTATGATTCATCTTCTCTTCCTCTTTTCTTTCTCATGACTATAAAAAAAGAATATTTTGTTTTTTAATAGCAATTAAAATAGAAATATAAACAAGTATTCTTCAAAACTGCAATAAGGATATTTACCTGGCTTCTCTTCACTTGTGTCAATTGAATTTTTACCCTACAAAACAAGGATTCAGAATATTGTTTTTACTAAGGACCGTTATGGTATTGTACGTTAAAAGGCACTGATTAGCTTGAGAAAAAAGTTTCTTAGTTAAGCCACATCCGTTTTTCACTATTATACTTACATGCATGTAATCTTTTTCTGTATTTCCCTACAACTTGTTCATAATTTCTGCTTTTTTCCAAGTGCTCTACTTCCGTCAATTATTTTTTCCATTTAGAAAAGAAATCTCAAAATTAAACATAGTTGGCAATTTGTTTGTTTTTTTTTAGAGTTTCACTCTTGTCACCCAGGCTAAAGTGCAACGGCACGATCTCGGCTCACTGCAACCTCCGCCTCCTGGGTTCAAGCGATTCCCCTGCCTCAGCCGCCCGAGTAGCTGGGACTACAGGCGCTCACCACTACACCTGGCTAATTTTTGTATTTTTAGTAGAGATGGGGTTTGACCATGTTGGCCAGGCTGATCTCAAGCTCCTAACATCAGGTGATGCGCCCACCTAAGCCTCCCAAAGTGCTGGGATTATAGGCGTGAGCCACTGCATCCAGCCCATAGTTGGCATTTTTATTTAGAAATCCCATGTACATCTGGCTGAGCGCAGTGGCTCACGCCTGTAATCCCAGCACTTTGAGAGGCCAAGGTAGGTGGATCACAAGGTCAGGAGATCAACACCATCCTGGCCAACATGATGAAGTCCTGTCACTACTAAAATAAAAAAAAATTAGCCGGGCATGGTGGCAAGCACCTGCAGTCCCAGCTACTTGGGAGGCTAAGGCAGGGGTATCACTTGAACCCAGGAAGCAGAGGTTGCAGTGAGCCAAGATTGTGCCACTGCACTCCAGCCTGGCAACAGAGTGACACTTCCATCTCAAAACAAAACAAAACAAAATAAAACAAAACAAAACAAAACACCTAGTATACCTTTAACTGTACATCATGCTAAGATATTCAATAGGTTGACTATTGAAGGAATATTCACTGTGAATGAAATTCATACATTAACTACAACTCAAAGTAGAAACAAAAGAGAATACTAATAGAAAATTATTAGTAAGGAAGGCAAGGGAAATGAGATGTTAAAAAAAGTTTCTGGCCAGGTGCAGTGGCTCACACTTATAATCCCAGCACTTTAGGAGGACTAGGTAGTAGGACTGCTTGAAGCCAGGAGCGCAAGACCAGCTTGAGCAAAAAAGCAAGACACCCACTCTATAAAAAAATTTAAAAATTAGCTGAGCATGGTGGTATGCACCTGTAGTCTCAGATACTCGGGAGGCTGAGTTAGGAAGATGGCTTGAGCCCAGGAGTTCAAAGCCACTGTGAGCTACTACAGTGCTAGTGAACTCTAGGCTGGGCTAGTGAGACAACACCTCTAAAAAAAAATTTTTAAGTTTCAAGATAAGAGTTGGGAAAGTATTATATCAAGAATACGCGAACAACATGTGTGATAAATCAAAATGACAAAAATATATATAATGAATTTTAAAATTAAGTTACAAAGTCTGAAGATTAAACAAGAAAATACTGGAAAAGAACTGATGCGATTAGAGTAGGCAGAATTTAATAGCTGACATCTTTAGGAAAGATGCAGAGGGGGAAAAGAATCAAAACCCTGGTATAAAAAGCTAGGTGGAACTGGCCAGGCAAGGTGGTTCATACCTGTAATACCAGCACTTTGGGAGGCCAACGTGGGTAGATCACCTGTGATCAGGAGTTCAAGACCAGCCTGGCCAACATGGTGAAACCCCGTCTCTACTAAAAATACAAAAATTAGCCAGGCATAGAGGCGAGCACCAGTAATCCCAGCTACTTGAGAGGCTGAGGCAGGAGAATCGCTTGAACCTGGGAGGCAGAGGTTGCAGTGAGCCAAGATCAAGCCATTGCGCTCAGCCTGGGGAACAAGAGCGAGACTTCACCTCAAAAAACAAAAAAGGTTAGGTGAAACTAAGTGAAGGATATATTGTGTATATTAATTTAACAGGTTAAAGAGCAGAGAAGAAATGACTACACCAATAAAATTATTGTATAAATAAAAACATGTTCTTGAAGCCCTTGGAAAGACCAGGTGTGCTAGGTCACATCTGTAATCCCAGCACTTTGGGAGGCCAAGGCAGGGGTACAGGTGAGGGTGGGGGTGGGGGAGGATAGCCTGAGCCCAGGAGTTTGAGACCAGCCTGGGCAACATAGTGAAGCCCTCTCTGTAAGAAAATAATAATCTTAAAAGCCCTAGGTAAGTCTCTGGAGCTAGCAAATGAATTAAGTATCAGCAGGCTGTTTTTTTTTTTTTTTTTTTTTAAAACAGTCTTGCTCTGTCACCCAGGGTACAGTCTAATACCATGAACTCAGCTCACTGCAACCTCCATCTCCCAGGTTCAAGCGATTTTCCTGCATCAGTCTCCAGAGTAGCTAGGATTAGAGACCTGCCATCACGCCTGGTTAATTTTTGTATTTTTAATGGAGACTGGGTTTCACCATGATGGGCAGGTTGGTCTCAAACTCTTGACCTCAGGTGATCCGCCTGCCCTGGCCTCCCAAAGTGCTGGGATTACAGGCATGAGTCACCGCACCCGGCCCATTTCTTTTTTTTTTTTTTTTTAATACTCTCTCCCAGTAGACTCAGTATTACCAGTTTTATTTATTTATTTATTTATTTAGGAACAGAGTCTCCCTCTGTCGCCCAGATTAGAGTGCAGTGACACAATCTCGGCTCACTGCAACCTCCACCTCCCGTGTTCAAGTGACACCCACATCTCAGCCTCTCAAGTAGCTGGGACTACAGGCACGCACCACCACACCCAGCTAATTTTTGTATTTTTAGCAGAGATAGGGTCTCATCATGTTGACCAGGCTGGTCTCAAACTCCTGGCCTCAAGGAATCCACATGCCTCAGCTTCCCAAAGTATTACAGGCATGAGCCACCATGCCTAGCAGAATTACCAGTTTTAAATAATGGGTTTTGTTGCAAAATAGTCTGTAAAATACTTTATCAGGCATTCTAACATCACCATTAACTAGCCTAAGAATCAAATAACTGGACTTAAAAACTACCCTAGTTATTCTGCCTATTGGCATTTTGATATTTCCTATTAAAGGCAGTTGAGCACAGAAACTAAGTGGAAGCTCTTAAACTAATTCTGGGTTCAAATCCACGATTTTCATCAAGTTAGCATCAGCTCTCACAATCTGCAGTACTTGTGGTTCAATAAAATCACTATGACAATACTGACTCACTGGCCCTAGGAAAAATACAAGCTTGAGTCTGACTCTGGTTATGATATTTTCAAGCAAACAATATATAACCCTGTTTTATTTGTGTTTCTGTTTTTAAAGATATCTTATTTAATATATATGTTGATTAATATTGAACTCAGGGCCAACAGCACTGTACCTCATGCCTAAATGAAGCTTACCCAAGACACACTTTCTCCATAAGGCACATCACAGCTTGTTTGTACTTAGAAACACTAGACAGGACTACAAGAGTTGAGGGCCATTTTAACAGCAAAATCACCAGGTAAAACCAGAAAAAATGCAAAAATAATGATGCTAAATAAAGACCATGAAAAGGACATATGCTTGACATACATATGGTAACTGAAACAAAGCACAGCAGCCCATGTTTGAGCTCAGCATTGGTAGACTACAATTTTTTGCTTTTCTGCACATAAGCGTGTATGTAAACGTTCATGATGGTGTCAGGAATCTTGACTTTGGGGTTACAAATAAATTTAAGTGAGTAGGTGAGTTCACAAATATACAATTCATGAATAATGAGGAATGATGTTCTTTATCTTCTTGTGTCAGCCTCTATTTATGTAAAATGGGGGAAAAAACAGTACCTTTACCTAACAAGAACTGTTCTAAGAGAAGACATGATAGCACACCTGACACAATAAGTACTCAATAAATGTAACCTTTATTATTTCTCTTTTAACTAGCACAACTTCATTATGCACTCCAAATAAAATGGCTACTTATAAAATACCTTGAAGTTTAAATTTGCAGATTCTTTCCAATTAAGCAAGCCAAACTGTGCCATCATCCAAAATAATCCATGGAATAAGAAAACTAAAGGATCATACTTTGGCTCTTTCTCCATTTCTTAAATAGTGAGGAATAGATTTTACATGTTTCTGCATTGCTTGTATCAAAGTTAGGTTTATCACTCAATTAAGGTAAAATTAAACAGACAATCAAAAAAGTCAGAAGAATACAAAAGTATGTCTTCAATATTTAAATGACATAATAATATTCTGGCTGGCTATATTACCTTTTTAACTTTTAAAGACTCCTTTTTTCTCTCCAATTTTTCTTTCTTCTTCTGTTCCTGTAAGGTAAATTTTTCTTATGTCACAAGTGGGAATTGCAACATGAAAAAAACACACACGCATTATCAATTCCCATATAACTTATGTTTACAATGAAGAAACTAAGGTCTATCATAATAAAAAAACAGGGAGGAACTTGTCTTTGTGGAGTAATGGGACAGATTTATCCTCCTGCCTTAAACAACTAAAATCCAGATAACATTTATTACACAATGGTCTTCAAGCAACATGCAGTAAAGGACTGTAAACACTGACAAAAGGGAAACAAGGTTAATCTTCTGACTGCCCAGCTTACTTCCTGACACCATTTTAAAGTACAAGTAATGGAGAAAAATCCAAACAGAGCCCAACAGTCTCTTTGTGTTGAGGAGACAGAATCCAAAACTTAAGAGCAGTAGCATTCCCAGGGTCAAGTACCAGAGAGGACAAAGATGCACAAAGCCAGCTGTTATGTCCTTCTCAGGCTGAGTACTAATAAGTGCATGGTAACCAAGACCAGAAGAGTCACCAGAAAGAAGCAGGTGGAACCTCTCTTGTTCCAAGGGGGTCAGGCACAATACGGTATACCTCACATTCTCTCAGCCAAAGTAGAAAGTCCTCTTAATATACAGGGCATTAATCAAGTAGAGTGCTCAGAAAAGAGATCCACTTATTCCTAGACTAAAAGCTATTCTAGACATACCCTCATAAATTTTTAAGACACCAAAATATTCAAACCATTTCCAAGAGGTGGTGAAAGGGGTAGATGCTATGTAACTCATTGAGTATTTGTTCTTCCGTGTCTTATTTTACCATAAAAAATAAAAGGGTTTCAAACAAAGAAAAAAGGAGATTTGACAAACAGCAAAATTTCCATTGATAATTGTTAAATGTGGGTGACGGGGACACAGGGACTTACTGTATTCTCTCAATTTGCACAAAATTTTTAAATCTTCATAACAGTGTAGTGGAAAGACAAACAATAAATACAATAAGCTGGGCGCGGTGGCTCAAGCCTGTAATCCCAGCACTTTGGGAGGCCGAGGCGGGTGGATCATGAGGTCAAGAGATCGAGACCATCCTGTCAACATGGTGAAACCCCGTCTCTACTAAAAATACAAAAAATTAGCTGGGCATGGTGGCGCGTGCCTGTAATCTCAGCTACTTGGGGGGCTGAGGCAGGAGAATTGCCTGAACCCAGGAGGCGGAGGTTGCGGTGAGCCGAGATCGGGCCATTGCACTCCAGCCTAGGTAACAAGAGGGAAACTCCGTCTCAAAATAAATAAATAAATAAATAAATAAATAAATACAATAAATGATGTACATGAGATGAAAAGTGCAATGGCAAGAAAAGAACAAGGTAAAGAGAATCAAGTGTGTTAGCAACTTTCTTAAAATTGTGAGAGCAGGTCTCATCTAGAAACCGTTTCAGTAAAAGCTCAAAGATGAAGTTAAGCCATGCAGTTATTTAAAGGAAGAAGGTTCCAGGCAGAAAATAGCAACCACAAAAGACAGGAGGAGGTATGAATGGTAATGGGATTGAGAAAGGCAGTCAAATTGCTTGCAGACATATAGATATTATCAGGACTTTCACTTTTCAGAAACAACATAAGCTAGGAGATAGTGTAACATCTTTAAAGTACTCCAAGAAATAATGAAGAAAAAAATTCTTCGCCAGTAAAAATCTATTTCAAAAATGAAAGTGAAGACAGACACTCAATGAAAGCTAAAAGAACCCAGCACCAACAGAAAATGCAAATGAATCTATAGTAACAGAAAACAGAGCAACTGGCTATCTATCTGTGGACAGAACATGGGGTACGGATGAGGGAGAAGAATTATACATGAGCAGAAAGAATTCTTTGGAATCAGTGGGTATGTTCACTATCATGATTATTATGGCTTCACAAGTATATCCATATTAACAAAACTTAGGGAATTGTACAGTTTAAATATGTGCAGTTTAGTGTATGTCAATTACACCCCAATAGTGATATTTTAAAAATGGAATCCTTCTCAGGAATACAAAGAACGACCCACTAAGACACAACATGAGTAAATCTCAAAAATATGCTGAGCAAAAGTAACAAGACAAAGAATGCATATCTAAAAGAATATTGAGAAAAAAACAAACTCAGTTTCTCCCTACATACTCAACAATCAACACAAAAGACTTCTTTGACCCAATGTGTGGGGGTTTTCCCTGTATACCCAACAAGCTTATCTGCAGTGAACCAGCAGGGTGTCCTCTACTGGAATTCAATTCTGACACACACTATGTACCGGGTAATAGACTCATATGCCACAGGTTGAGGGTTCAGTCACCAAGACTTTCCCTACCAATTTCAGATGCCAATCACAAGGCCCAAGTTGTTTTACCTGTACTTCTGACTGAACAGCTATAAATCAGGGTTCTGACAAGCCCCTCTTTGGGTTTGACTAATTTGCTAGAGGAGCTCACAGAACTCAAAGAAACATTAATGTTTACTGGTTTATTATAAAGAATATGACAGTCTGGGGGCAGTGGCTCACACCTGAACTTTATGAGGCCAGGACAGGTGGATCACCTGAGCCCAGGAGTTCCAGACAAGCCTCGGCAACATGGCAAAACTGTGTCTCTACAAAAAATACAAAAATAAGACAGACATAATGGTGTGCTCCTGCAGTCCCAGCTACTGGGGAGGCCGAGGTGGAAGGAATGCTTGAACTGAGTAGTCGGAGATTGCAGCTGAGATGGTGCACTACACTCAAGCCTGGGCAACAGAGAAAGATTCTGTCTCAAAAAAATAAAAATATTACAAAGGATTCAGATGAACACAAGAGGAAGAGATGTGCAGAAGAAGCGCAGAGCTTCCGTGCCCTTTCTGGGTGCACCACCCTCTCCAGGAACCTCCACGTGTTCAGCTCTCCAGGAGTTCTCCAAACCCTGTCCTTTTGGGTTGTTTTATTTTTATTTATTTTAATTTTTGAGACACAGTCTCACTTGGCTGCCCAGGTTAGAAGTTCAGTGGTGTGATCTCGGCTCACTGCAACCTCCGCCTCCTGAGTTCAAGTGATTCCCCTAGGTTCAAGTGATCCTTCTGCCTCAGCCTCCCAAGTACCTGGGGGCCTGGCTAACTTTTATATTTTTGATAGAGATGGGTTTTCACCATGTTGCTCAGCCTGGTGTCAAACTCCTGGGCTCAAGTGATCTGCCCGTCTTGGCCTTCCAAAGTGCTGGGATTACAGGCATGAGACACTGAGCCCAGCCTGCTTTATTTTTGAGACAGGGTCTTGCTCTGTCACCCAGACTAGAGTGCAGTGGTGCCATCATGGTTCATCGCAGCCTCAATCTCCTAGGCTCAAGCAATCCTCCTGCCTCAGCCTCCCAAGTAGCTGGGACTACAGGAACATGCCACCTCACCTAGCTTATTTTTCTATTTTTGGTATAGATAGAATTTTGCCATGTTGTCCAGGCTGGTCTCAAACTTCCGGGCTCAAGCAATCTGCCTACCTAGGTCTCCCAAAGTGCTGGGGTTAGAGGCATGAGCCACATCCAGCCCTTCTGGGTTTTTAATGAAGGCTTCATAACACAGGCATGATGATTAGTCTCTCTTCTTTTCCTCAAGATTGAGGGTGAGGCTAAATTCTAACCCTCTAATCCAGGCTTTCTAGTACCTAAGCCATCGATCATTAGCATTAAAAAAGCCACTATTATTTTGAAGATTCCAGGGATTTCAAGAGTTGTATACCAGGAAATGTGATGAACACCAACTATTTACTCACAATAGCACAATACTATGATTTAATTTATAGAATTTTCTAGGGAAAAACAATAATGGTCTATAGTGACATAAAACAGATCAGTGGTTGCTGGACACCAGCCATGGGCATCACTGCCAGCACAAAACAACTTTTTGGAGTTCATGGAAATGCACTGTGTCTTGATTGTGCTGGTGGTTACACAGGTCTATATGTTTACTAGTCAAACTCAGCAAACTATAAACTTAAAATCCGTACATTTTATTGTATATAATATACACGTCAATAAAGCTATTTTTGTTTGTTTGAGACAGAGTTTTGCTCTTTTGCCTAGGCTAGAGTACAACGGCGCAATCTTGATCTCAGCTCACTGCAACCTCTGCCTCCCAGGTGCAAGAGATTCACCTGCCTCAGCCTCACAAGTAGCTGGGATTACAGGCATGCACAACCACGCCTGGCTAATTTTGTTTTTTTTTAACTAGAGACAGGGTTTCTCCATGTTGGTCAGGCTTGTCTTGAACTCCCAAACTCAGGTAGTCCACCCGCCTCAGGCTCCCAAAATGCTGGGATTACAGGCGTGAACCACCTCACCTGGCCAATAAAGCTATTAAAAAAAATTTTTTTAAGCCTTCACTTATAGTCAGTTACATATACATACATACCTCCAATTGTTGCTGTTCCATTTTCGTCAATAAAAATTTGGAGTAGATATTGCTTTTTTCAAGCAAATGTTGAAGTCGACGGTACCGAATTTCTGTCGACTCTCTATCCCAAGACATGCGAGCCTATCCCAAGAGAAAATTTCCATAATTACTAATACTTTCTGACATATGTTAATTTTTTTGGCATAAAGTTTAATAAAAATGGCTAAAAGAACATTTTTCAAACGAAACAAATACTTTTTCAAACCAAAAACTAGAACAAATAACTGAAAAAAAAAAAAAAACAGTTCTTGGGTTCAACAGGTAATCTGGTAGATGTAGTTTAAATATCAAAATATTGTAATTTCAAATACTGAACACATGATTTTGATTTCCGGCATCTACTGAGTTGGAAGGTCCATTAAAAAACATTTGAAGGCCGAGCACAGTGGTTCACGCCTGTAATCTCGGCACTTTGAGAGGCCAAGGTGGGAGGGCCACTTGAAGCCAGGGGTTCAGGACCAGCCTGACCAACATGATGAAACCCCATCTCTACTGAAAACACAAAAATTAGCCAGGCATTATGGTGCATGCCTGTAGTCTCAGCTACTCAGGAGGCCAAGGCAATAGAAATGCTTGAACCCAGGAGGCGGAGGCTGCAGTGAGCGGAGATGACGCCACTGCACTCCAGCCTGGGTGATAGAATGAGAGTAGCTGTTTTCAATCTTAATATTAAGTGTGTAATTGGCTAAAACACCGATGTTGTGGTTCTGTGTTATTACACTGTCTTGTTACGTACAGATAAGGAAAATTTTTGATTATTTTTTGTACTTGACCCTCATAAAAAGTGATTGCCTAGGTGAGACTGGAAAATTCTAAGAAAAGTTTTCAGAGTCTCTTCCTATTTGAGATTAATAAAGAGGTTTATTTGGATATCACATTTTAGAAAACTACTACCAATACAATTCATTCTAACAATCAAAACAGATATCTAGCCAAGATTAGCACCCCCACCCCCCTTTTTTTAAGGCAGGGCCTCACGCTGTTGCCTAGGCTGGAGTGCAGTGGTGAAACTGTATGTTACTGCAGCCTCGAAATCCCATGCTCAAACCACCCTCCCACCTCAGCCTCCCAAATAGTTGGGACTACAGGCGGACGCCACCACACCCTGTTAATTTTTGTATTTTTTTTACAGAGATAGAGTTTCACCATATTACTCAAGCAGGTCTTCGACTCCTAAATTCAAGAGATTTGTCTGCCCTGTTCTCCCAAAGTACTAGGATTAAAGGCATGTGCCACCATGCCCAACCAAGATCACCAATTCTGTAACATCAATCCAGCCTAGTAAATCAACAAACACGTACTGCAACAATTGGAGAAGTCAGACTTCAGGAAATGGATGAGATCTGAGCTGTCTGAAGGATAGATAAATGAGAGCAGAATTCAAATTTTGCCAGTTACTGTAGAAGTTCCTGAATTAAGCAACACTGGCCTCAGCAACAGCATTAAGAATCACACTTAAGTAACTTTAGAATTAAAAAGACCTTTATAGATTAGGTAGTACATTACCTTTCGTTTTATACAGTCTAGACAAACTGTTGACTTGAAGAGTTTAGTGGCAGATTTTTAGCATTTTGCTTTTTCAACTAAACCAATTCCCCTACTTTTCAACAAGTATCAATGAAAACACAAAAACAAAGTCAACCAATAAAATCTCACTGCCCCTTTCCCCAGTAATTGGTGGTTTAAACGTAGAGGAAAGTAGCTGAGAGTTTAAAGCATGTTTGAAATAGGAGCTATAAGTTCATTTTTACACTCTAAATAATGCCCAAGCCCTTGGGTAGTTTTGCTGCTTCAGCTTGTCAGTATCTCTAAGACATCATTTGATATTGGCTTATATTTTCCTAGATATTACATCATCACTGTAGCCTTCTTTCAAAATGTATATATTTTTTTTGAGATGGAGTCCCGCTTTGTTGCCCAGGCTGGAGTGCAGTGGCATGATCTCGGCTCACTACAACCTCCACCTCCATGGTTCAAGCAATTGTCTGCCTCAGACTCCCAAGTAGCTGGGATTACAATCACCCGCCACCACACCTAGCTAATTTTTTGTATTTTTAGTAGAGACAGGGTTTCATCGTGTTAGCCAGGCTAGTCTTGAACTCCTGACCTCGTAATCCACCCACCTCAGCCTCCCAAAGTGCTGGGATTACAGGCATAAGCTACTGCACCAGCCTCAAAATATATCTGTATTACAAAATCAGTGGCAACAGTAAGATTCTGAGAAGGAACCTAAGAAAAGTAATGCATTACAGAAAAATTAAATGTCAAAAAATATATCTATCAGCCATAATCGCACCTATACAGACAATTCTTCACATCTTGAACTCAATTTTAAGTTCTTTTAGAACAGCACTTCTTTTACTATAACCAATATATTACTATGATTACAATATGCAAGATGAGGTGAATATTGTAAACAGGGAGATGAAAATTATTAAGATGATATATGGATTCTTAAATTTTTAAGTTTTAAAATTTAAGTTCAGTTAAAATAAATGTGAGTTTAACTTAGATATAGTTGATACCTTAAATCCTATACAGAATTAGCACTTTTCTTTTTTCTGAGATGGGGTCTTGCTCTGTCACCTAGGCTGGAGTGCAGTGGTAAGATCTTGGCTCAATGCAACCTGCGCCTCCCGGGCTCATGCAAAGATCCTCCTGCCTCAGCCTCTTGAGTAGCTAGGACTACAGGCATGTGCCACCATGCCGGCTAATTTTTTTATTTTTCGTATAGATGGGGTTTCACCATGTTGCCCAGGCTAGTCTTAACTCCTGGGCTCAAGCGATCCGCCCCACCTCAGCTTCCCAAAGTTCTGGGATTACAGGCATGAGGCACCGCATCTGGCCAGCATATATTTTTAAAATAACTAAATACTTGCCTGGTGGTCCTGGGGAAAAAATTTTTTTTCTTTAAAAAAAAAAAAAAAAAAAACAAACCAACAAATTACTAAACCTTTAAGATGCCATCATGGAACAATAATATACAATTAATATTAGAATAACACCATAAAAGTGATTAATCCTTAAACCTGCTCTTCTGTATTTCAAAATCTTTCTATCATTGTTTTTTCTTTGATTTATCAATTTCATTATTATGGTAAATTGCAACTCCATCTACTGAAAGCACCAAGTGCCTGTCGGGAAACAACTCTGGGTAACTACAGCGCATGAGTATACCAATGGACACTGAGGGTAGAAATTCCTCATTATCTACCCCATTATCTCTCCCAAAACCAATCTCAGATTTTTTATTGGGGGGGTGGGAGGAGTTCTATTTAAGCCTACACACATGATCATTTCACCTCTCCAAGCAATCTCCTGACTCCAACCTTTCCCCCTCCTCCACTTCACAGGCATTATCGGTATTATTATCGGTATTCAAATGTCCTAGACTAACAATGACTTCTCTTAAAGGAAAATGCATGTGAAAAGTCAAAGAAAATAACTGTAGCAAATGAATGTCAAAGTCATTTTCTAGGCTCCTCAAGACCCTTAGGATTTCCTAAAGCCAAATAAATGCTTTTAATTAAGGAACTTAAGCTATCTCTTTCTCTCTTAAGTACTTCTAAATACATGCCCATAAATACTGTATTCTCCCAAAAGAAAAGGAATCTCTACCTTTGCATAGTGAATTCTTTGGCCCCCAAAGACTTGTTTGTTAATCTCAAACAAGAAGAGACTCTGAAAACGTTTCTTAGAATTTTCTAGTCTCACCTAGGCAATCGCTTTTTAGGAGGGTCAAGTGCAAAAAATAATCAAAAACTTTCCTTATCTGTACATAACAAGACAATGTAATAACACGGAACCACAACACCAATGTTTTAGCGAATTACATACACACTTACATGATTGAAAACAGCTATATACTTTATTTTTTTTTGAAATGGGAGTCTAGCTCTGTCTCCCAAGCTGGAGTGCAGTGGTGCTATCTCAGCAGTTCAAGCAATTCTTCTGCCTCAGCCTCCCGGCATGCAGAGACTACAGGCATGCACCACCATGCATGGCTAATTTTTGTATTTTCAGTAGAGACGGGGTTTCACCATATTGGCCAAGCTGGTCTCAAACTCCTGACCTCAGGTGATCCACCCACCTTGGCCTTTCCAAACTGTTGGGATTACAAGTGTGAACCGTGTCCAGCCATGAAAACAGCTATATACTTTTTCAGTGGAAGGACTGAATATAGATTAAAAATTACTCTTTAGGTTCTATGATGCATAACTATTAAATTTAGGACTGACTGCAAAATGTTTGTTCATAAGCTTAAAAATGTCATTAAAAGTAGCAGGTCATTTGACTCCTGGTTTATCTCATCAGCAAATACATACAATACTACATATTTGACTTATTATAAATGTGAAGTATTTCTTCCCTTGAACTAATAATGCCTTCTGAAAATGTATTGTCATATGTCAGACATATCTTTCTTTAAATGCATTTCCCTACCCAACACTCATCATGAGTATATGAAGAAACAAGATAAAACTGAAGATACATTACTCAAGACAAAATTATCATATCCCTCTTAGACCTCTTCAGTTGATTCCATTCTGGGCACTTGCCCCAGAATTTGTACTTTACAATTCACCTGTTATATACCTAATAAGTATATTTATTATATGTACATAATCTTGTATATTACAAAATACTATTTCATCATTGTTAACCATTCAATAAGCATTTACTGACTGCCTACTATGTACCTGGTGCAAAGACTACAAAAACAAAACAGGAAGTGATACACCCTCAAGAAACAAAGTGAGAAAGAATCAAAAAGTTATATGAAGTATTTTTCATTACTTATTTGACCATGGTAAATTCTGTGTAATAAAGTACTATGAAAATTCAAAGAATGAGAAAAGGTAGTTCAAGTCAGACCTTCCAATTCTATTAATTCACATCTACCCTGAAGCAAAAAGTATCGGTATGACTTAAAGAAAATTTGTTAATGTATTACTTTAACTGGTTATAGTCAACCAGAGATCATCAGTAATAACAGAACAAGTATTACTGGAGTGAAAGTATACCACGGTAGTTTAAAAATGTGCATTCTAGAACTACATGGCCTACAATGGAATGTTTGTTCTGCCATTTACTTACTGTAGCACCCAAACAACCTCCCTGTGCCTCAGTTTCCTCATCTGTAAAATCTAAAAAAGTCTATTTAAAAGTCTTACTTAAACTAGTAAGTCTGATAGCAGTAATAGTAATAATGAGCATCTGCTTCACAGAATAGTTGAGGGATTGAATGAGTAAATACATACAAAGCATTCAAAACAATGCATGCCTCATAATAAATGTTCATGAAGTATTAACAATGCTGACAAAAAACTTATTGTTGATAGAAAATAGTCTCTATCTTTTGGGCTGCATTATTTTGGGGGTGCATTATTTTCCAACTTAAGTAGTTTTATAATCATGATGAGTTAATTCAATATTAATAAGAACAGAAATTCTGGAGGCAGCCCAAGTTCAAATTTGGTGTCAACACTTACTGTGTGCCCTTCTCCCTCAATTTCTTCATCTGTAAATGGAGATATCAAAAAATGACCTCTATCATAATATCGGTAGAGTTTAGTAAATTAATAAAGCACAAGAAAACCACCTATTAAGAGTCAGCCATCATTCTTTTTCTTGCATATGAATCAAGCAGCAGGGTGGAACTTTAAACAAGAATATTTCGGGTTAAAAACTGCTTTTAGTTATCTACAAAATACTCTCTACAAGAAAACTACAGCAACTTGTCATTAAAAAAGTACACCACATTTTTAGCTCAAGAATCTTATGCAGCAATACACAAGCCATGAAACCAAAAGGAAAACAAACAGCAAGTTGATCACTTAGGTGGAAAACAGCACTACACTAAAAGGTAATCATTAGACTTGGATTCCAGCCCAGCTTTTGATTGATGCTAACTTCTCCTGCCCTCAGTCTAGTACATTACTTCTGCAGGTTTTAGCGATTCGTGTTTGCCATCATACATACATTTAAGGTAATCTTTAAAGGAAATAAAGATGACAAAGGAAAAAACTCAATATCGACTTCGACTTCTCGTGGCTAAACATGCAATATGAAATGATCACTTAAAAGAGATAGGACTACCGAGACTACATCTCACAGAAATACACCAAAGCACATGCGAAAGGTTTCTCAAAGGCAGTATCTGCAGACATACAAAATGACAAGTAACAAAGCTGTGTTCATTCAAGTTTATGAAAAGCCCACTAAATAGGAAAGCAAAAAACATAAACCACACCTCTGGGTTAAAGCCGAGGTTACCACCGGCTTTCACGACGGAGAACCTGATGCCTACATTACCTTTTCCAGCATCTTCCGCTCTCTCTCTAGTCCAGCAGCTTCGAGCTGTTCTTCCTCTTCTAGCATGGCTGGGGTAATCACGGCAGTGTCTAATTGTTCAACCATTTCTGGAGTTTGTGAGCCTGAGGAGGAGAAGGCTTTCAAATTGCAGTTTTAAAAAAATTACCAACTACTCAACTTCAACATTAAACAGCCTTTCTCCCACCCGAGATGCACTGGAGCAAAAGCCGAAGACGCAGGGGATACCGGCATCACCTCTCAGACACGCTAGGTCTTCACAACGTCTACAAGTTGCCTGGACCAATTTCCAACTCGAGATGCTCAGAAAATGAAGTGCCCTGTGTGAAATCTTCTCCAGCTTGCTAATATGTGCGATTCCGGGGTGTCCCCCACTCACCGTTGCAGTTTCTCTACCCTCCCTTCCTCCTCAGTCCCTGCACAGGGTCGGCTCCCTCCCCCTAAGCTCCGCCGCAGCCTCCATGCTTGCCCACCTCAGCCCCTCGCGCCGCCGCCCGCACCCGAAAGAAGGTTCCCCTCACTCACCGCCGCTGCCCGCGGGCCGTTCCGCTGGCATGCCTGGACACTCACCCAGGAACCAGGTCCCCTCCTCTCAGAGTCTGCAATACCGCGAGCTAATAACTCACAGCAGTTCCCGGCCCAGCCTGCTCACCAAAACCCCCGACAGGGAAAAAAGCGCGCTTCTCCTTCGCGGGGAAAATCCTGTCATCTCGCGATACCTTAAATTCCCCGCCCGCCCTCCAGCCCCGTTGCGCGAGATTTGGCGCAGCTTTCTGTTTTCGTGAAGACGGACCTGCAGCCACCGTGACCCTTTATTTGAACCTCTGTCTGGAGGAAACTGGGTTCTGCTGCCGAACTCAGCCTGTAACTATCCTATGGGATTGGGCGAGGCGGCCGGCCGTGGAGGACCCAGTTTCCTCTCAGAGCTGATGGTTCCAAACTACGCAATTACAGTTATAATACGGCGCCTTCCCATGCTGGCTGCTGTGATTGCGCACCCCAAACCCGTGATCCTGTAGGTGGAGACTTGTGCGTATCCGCACGAGAATGTTAGAAACATTTCTGTAGGGCCAGCCTCGCCGCACCTGCAGCACGCGGCTCACACCTTCAGTGAAAATCCCCCGAAATGGCCCAGAGGAGGGCTCTTTTGTGAGTGGGACGGGAGAGAAAAGAACAGGTAATTAAGATTATGACTGGGTTGAAGAAAGCCGTTTAGGATAAAGGAGAGCTGAAAGCAATGATAGACCAAGCAGAGTGGCCAGCAGAAGGGAAGATTCAGGGAAACAAGCAGCATTCATTCGAGTGGGCACTGAAGGAAGGAGCGGGGCTTTTCTTGTCCCTGGTTTTCATTTCAGCTTTCAACTCCTCCTTTTCTTGTTTGCATTCTTTTTCAGCTATTTCCTTTATCTCCCTCTCCAGGGCCCCCTTTCCCACCTCTAATTTCTTAGGATTTGTGGCATTAAATATGTCTGTCATGTAATCACCTGTTTCCTTCATTTTGACTCTCACAACTTTGTATGATTGTGTCTGCAAAATTTAAGAATTTACCGGCCGGACGCAGTGGCTCACGCCTGTAATCCCAGCACTTTGGGAGGCCAAGGCGGGTGGATCACAAGGTCAGGAGTTCAAGATCAGCCTGGTCAAGATGGTGAAACCCCGTCCCTACTAAAAATACAAAAATTAACTGAGCGTGGTTGCAGGCACCTGTAATCCCAGTTACTCGAGAGTCTGAAGCCAGAGAATTGCATGAACCCAGTCGGCAGAGGTTGCAGTGAGCCGAGATCGCGCCACTGCACTCCAGCTTGGGCGACAGAGAGACTTCGTCAAAAAAAAAAGGGGGGGGGGTTTACCTTGCACGTCCGTCATAACCATCTTCAGCAGTTTTCATAACACTAAAATTAGCATAGCAGATTATTTTTATTCCTACATTACAAGTGAGAAAAGCGATAGACTAATGTTTAAATTGACTTGTACAGAGAAGCCTACATTCACTTTGTGTTAAAATAAGAGGCCTGAAATACAGGTATTTTTGTAACTGTGGGACGTGCCCCCAAACTGGGCCTAGTCTGTTAATAACATAATGTCGAGTTAGTTCATAACAGAGCTAAAAGCCCAGAAATGTTCAATAGAAAATGCTTTGACCTCTAACAACACTGGGAACCAAGAAGATGGGAACCTGAACTCAGTAGCTCTTTCAGAAGTGAGGAGTCTGTTGGCCGAGAAGATGCGGGGCTAAAATCTGCCTCAACAGGCCAGGCGTGGCAGCTCATGCCTGTCATCCCAGCACTTTGGGAGGCCAAGGCTGGAGTATCACTTGAGCCCAGGGGTTCAAGACCACCCTAAGCAACAAAGGGAGACCTAGACTCTATAAATATTTTATTATGATAGGGTCATACTCTGTTGCTTAAGCAGGAGTGGAATGGCAAGATCTCGGTTCACTGCAATCTCCACCTCCTGGGTTCAGGTGATCCCCCTGCCTCAGCCTAGCAAGTAGCTGAGACTACAAGTGCAAGCCACCACACTGGGACATTTTAATGGTGGACATTAGCCCACGCCATGCTAATTTTTGTGATTTGGGGGTTTTTTTTGTCTGTTTTTGTTTTTTGTTTTTTTTTTTTTTGGTAGAGATGGTTTTTCACCGTTATCCAGGCTGATCTCGAACTCTTGGGTTCAAGGGATCCACCTACCTCAGCCTTCCAAAGTGCTGAGAGTACAGGCGTGACACATTGTGCCCAGCCCCTACAAAAATTTCAAAAATTAGCAGGGTGTGGTGGCACATGCCTGTGGTCCCAGTTACTTGGGAGGCTGAGTGGGAGAATCACTTGAGCCCAGGAAGTCAAGGATACAGTGAACCAAGATTGTAACACTGCACTCCAGGCTGGGTGACAGAGCGAGACCTTGTCTCAAAAAAACAAAACAAAAAAAACTTCATACTGAGATGGAGCAGGGGGACCCTCCTTCTCTAGGGGCCTGTGGGCCCTCCAACCGTGAGAATAAAGGAAAATCTTGAGTTCTTCAAAGGAAATTCTAGGCACCTAGCTAGCCCTGAGAAGCAAATAAGCAACTCGATAAAGAAGAAGGTAATAGTAGCCTAAAACAACAGCCGAGGAAGTTAGATTCAGCAGATGTTCGGTTCCTCTATAAAAACTAAAATTAATATCTTAGCGTATGTCTCTGAGTTGTTTTTTAGAAACCCCAAGCCCCACCAAACACATCTGCTGGCACTCTGTTGCCTCATTTGTTCTAAATTTATTCCTGACGGGCCTGAAGGAGGTCACACACACAAGCAGAGCTAGCATTCTTTTCTGCTGATCCCAAATTTTTATTTTTTAATTTTTAAAAATTGAGATGGAGTCTCACTATGTTGCCCAGGCTGCTCTCAAACTCCTGGGCTCAAGCCATCCTCTCAGCCTCTCAAGTCAAAGGGAAAAATTTTGGGATTACAGGCACACACTACCACACTCAGCTCCCCAAATTTTTAGACAAAGCTTCACCTCCTGAATTAACTGCAAATCAGAAAACCTTTTAATTCATCTATGACCTCTTCCTCAAGTCCTCCTCCCTGACCCTTTGAGATGCCTCACCATTTTGGTCAAAACAATGCATAGACTCCATGTATTAAATGATTACTTTGCCTGTATTTCTGCTTTCCTGAAATTTACCCCTGCCTTCAAAAATCCTTACCTGCAAGCCATCAGGGAGTTTGGGTTTTAAGAATGAGCTGCCCCAATTCCTGCAGCTGCAAAAGCACAGTGTGGATGTCTTGTCTTCCTGAGCCAGGCAAGTGGACCACAGTTCAGTTCTATAACAGTACCTTACCTTAAATGGTACATTTTGAAGCCCTCCAATCAGACCCTGCCAAGCCAACATTCCAAAATCTTTTCCCGTGCTCTCGGATCCCTTAAAATTTGCCCTAGACCCCAAATCAGGGAGACAGACTTGAGCCCACTCCTGTCTCCTTGCTGACCACTTGCAATAAAGCCTTTCTTTTCTCAAAGGCAGGTGCCATAGTTATTGGCTTTTGTGTGCAATGGACAGTGAGCCCATTTGCTTGATAACATTTTTACTCCTAGTTCATTGAATATTATTTCAAGATAAAATGTAGCCTCTATTAGTAGTTACTCTAAATCCTATCTCCTTCTAATCTAAAACATAGCTATCAGTTTTATTCTACTTAAGATTTGCTTTAAAAGCCGGGTGCGGTAGCTCATGCCTGTAATGCCAGCACTTTGGGAAGCCGAGGTGGGTGTATCACTTGAGGTCAGGAGTTCAAGACCAGCCTGACCAACATGGAGAAACCCTGTCTCTACTAAAAATACTAAAAAAATTAGCTGGGCGTGGTGGCACACACCTGTAATCCCAGCTACTCAGGAGGCTGAGGTAGGAGAATCACTTGAACCCAGGAGGCAGAGGTTGTGGTGAGCCAATATTGCACCACGCACTCCAGCCTGGGTAACAAGAGTGAAACTCTGTCTCAAAAAAAAAAAAAAAAAAAGATTTGCTTTGTTTTGTTTTGCGACAGTCTTGCTCTGTTGCCCAGGCTAGAGTGCAGTGGCACAATCATAGCTCACTGTAACCTCAAATTCCTGGGCTCAAATGATCCTCCCACATCAGCTTCCTGAGCAGCTCGGTCTACAGGTGCATACCACTACACCCAGCTGATTTTTTAAAATTTTCTGTAGAGACAGGGTCTTGCTATGTTGCTCAGGCTGGTCTTGAATTCCTGGGCTCAAGGGATCCTCCTGCCTTGACCTCCCAGAGTATGAAATTACAGTCATGCCAGAGTATGAAATTACAGGCATGAGCCACTGTACCCACCCTCCCTCTACTTAAGATTTTTGACCTTCATCAACCTATCCTCCAAAATTTCTTTCCCTTTGACTTTTGAAACACTGCTTTTTATGAGGTTTTTCCCTAATACATTGAAAAATCTTTCCTTGTTCTTTTGAATTCTGATATGGTTTGTCTGTGTCCCCACCCAAATCTCATCTTGAATCGCGGCTTCCATAATTCCCATGTTGTGGGAGGGACCCAGTGAGAGATAATTGAATCATGGGGGCAGTTGCCTCCATACTGTTCTTATAGTAGTTAAGTCTCACAAGATTGAGAACAGATGGTTTTATATAAAGGGCAACCCCTTTCACTTGGTTCTCATTCTCTCTCTTGCCTGCCACCACATAAGACGTGCTTTTCACGTTCTGCCTTCCGCCATGATTGTGAGGCCTTCCCAGCCACATGGAACTGTGAGTCCCTTAAACCTCTTTTTCTTTACAAACTACCCAGTCTTGGGTATGTCTTTATTGGGAGCATGAAAATGGACTAATACAAATTAAATTGTGGCCCACCTCCCCAAATCTTTCCTCCATTCATTTTTTCTCTAGAAACTTTGTTCTTTGCATCTTCTGCTCTGTAGGTGAGAGGGGAAAGGGGAGAGGGGAGAGGGAACGGGGGGGAGGGGGAAAAGGGAGGGGGGAAGAGGGAGGGAGGAGAGGGAATGAATTTGTCCAAATACAAATTAGATGGAGTTCAAGAAAATCTCATCTGATTCTCAAAGAACAGACACTCAACTAACATCTGGTTCCACACTTGCTAAGAAAAGTGCATTGGTGCATTTCCTGGCACGTCTTTGCCGTCGTGTAAACTCTCCCTTCAAAGTGGCTGTGAAAACTCTTGTTCATCCACTTTTATTTAAGGGCCTACATTTATTTTGTTTTCTTTTTTTTTTTTGAGACAGAGTTTCGCTCTTGTTACCCAGGCTGGAGTGCAATGGCGCGATCTCGGCTCACCGCAACCTCCGCCTCCTGGGTTCAGGCAATTCTCCTGCCTCAGCCTCCTGAGTA